ATCGTTGCGTGTCCGACTTATGTATGAAAATATCGCGCCTTTTTACCGCATCATGCTGCGAATGCTTTTTTAACGATTCCTGTTGTCAGCTGCAACGATAAATTCCCATTATTCTCGAAAAAGCTCCTCCCAACTCGGCCACGCGCCACGCCACGAACACATTTGTATAACGAATTTTCAAACAAATCTGTATTTTTTTTGCACAACGAGGAATCAATCTCTCTCTCTCTCTCTCTCTCTCTCTCTCTCTCTCTCTCTCTCTCTCTCTCTCTCCTCCCTCCCTCCCCCTCCTCCCTCCCCCCCCCCTCGGGCGAAATCATTTTTGCGTTACTCATCTTTAAATATGCCGACATATTTTTATCTTATTAAATTTAACAGCGAGATTTCTTTTGCGAAATTTCGAAAGCTTCACAGTTTCTCCATCCACTTGTCGCGAATTTACTCGCATGGCGCGTGATCACGTTTCACATAGAAAAGTGCTGTCTGATACCGAGAGATATAAAAATCGCGGAAATGATTTCGCTGCTGTAACAATATTATGCATGCAAGAACGTACTCACGATTGCGATCTACATGCATAAAACGTGCACCCTTCTGGCGCCGTATGCAGTTCATGATTCCGAGGTTAACAGATCTCACCTTTGCGAATGTAATATTGACGATATTGTCTAGCGAAAAATGATGTTAATAATTTACTTACTCAATTAGTCACTAAATGACGAAGTTACGCTTACTCTCTAAATTCTTTAGAGTGCAAAAATCTCTAAAAAGTGAAAATTGAACTAATCTTAAAAAAAGAATGGCTCAATTTTGAATCTTTGAGAATGAGATTCGCTCTTCAGAGTGAGATTCATTCTAAAAGTTTTTCTAGAGAGTGCACACATTCACAAATAAGTGCGAAATTGCACATAATTTTTCTTCACCATAACGTTATAATCTTTTCTTTTTTTCAAATATAAGCATTTGTGAAACAAGCAAAATTCAAAGACCGTGATTCTCGATTAACTGACGAAACGATGCAGTTGACACAGCGATCCAGTCCCGATCCCCCGAAACGGCTCAGTTGATTGACCTCGAAGCTAAATTTGCCTAGCGATCGCAACTAAACAGGCGCGTACCTAGTTACTAGACTATCGCCATATTTTGGCTCACAGTTATTAGATAAATCTAAATGTGTATATACGGCCTGCTAAAATTTACATCAAGTAGCTAAGTGAAACTTAATGTTAATGAACTTAATGATTACTTTCACTTAGAAAAATATTCTTTCCTTAAATAATTCCTTTATTTTCGTTAAAGCCAAAGTATTTTTCTGTAAGCTTCTATCTGTAAAACATCCCTAATTTACATAAAATAAGTTCTTGAATTCTTAAAATTCACTTAGAATTCGTTATGCTATGTTTTAACTGTGTGGAAAGTCGATTAAACTGCGAAGTCTACGTGCCAAGAAATTTGCAGCTAACAGTCGCCACTGTTTTTACAATGTGTGATGATTATGCGAACTCATTTTCATGAGAGCGAGAGACTGAGAGGGAAGTCGACCGAGTTTTCTCAGTCCTTTGTGCCCGTTTTGCCGCATCGCTAATCGGAAAACGGATGCAGCTACATTGACGGAGCGGAGTTTAGCCGATGAATCAAAACGTAGTTTGTATGTCGAGTAATGTATCACGCGAGGCTCGCCGAGTATGTAAAGAAGCTGCTGGCATTGCACATAGTAGTTCGAACAAACTACACATTGATAGCGCACGTACCTCTCTCTCTCCTGGCGACACGTGTCGCGGTGCATAGCAAGCCGAGTAAATGCATCTGTCATTAGGGCGCAAAATAAGCGCTACCGTCATCGACTAGATCGTCAGGAATTGGCCGAAGAGACAACTCGCTTGTCCCCCAGATTGGCGCAAGAAGACCGCGAGAGGCAGAACATTGCAAATTAATTCTGATTTCCCACCGATAGAAAAACAACAAAATAACTTTTTAATCTTTTCTAAAATTGAGAATAGATGAATACAATTATAAATTCCTTAAGATTATAAATATTTATTTAATGCATTGATTAATGTTTTAAATAACATAAAAATAAATAAATATTTTAATCATTGGTTTTTGAATAAAATTTATTACTTTATCGCTACTAAAAAAAAAAACATTTAAATATTATGTATATCTGTGTATGAATTATATGCACATATTCTATGGAGAGATTGGTAAAAAATAAATTTTGTCGAGCCGATACATTAATTCAATTTGTGATAAAAAACACCATTTCCTAAAATTTGTCGTACTTATTTAAAGTCAATCTGTATATGAATCTTCCGAAACAAACATATCTTCATCGACATAACGAATGTAAAATATAATTCGAGAAGGACCTCGTGTTTGTAAGACATGTCCATCGCCATCCGTCACTACTACGATGCTATGAATAGAAAAATATGGGATTCTGTCAGATCCTATATATCTATATCACGTAGGATCGAATCATGACACACACACACACACACACACACACACAGACACACACATTAGGAGATAGCGTAATGAAATTCACCAGTTTATTTCGTGACCGCATCATCATTAAGGCCTCTCGAGCCAAATCGCCGACTTAATGAAATTCATTAATTCAGCCAGTGCATTCCGCAGGGAGATTTACGCGGACTCAAGGTCACTCAATGATCATTGGCCAGCATTCTCAAATAGCAGAAAACTCCTTATCCCTTTTAAACGGCGTTGCCATTCATTTCTTTTGAAGCTGTCGCGACATGAACAGTTTTATCATATTGATCTTTTTTCATTGTACAACCTTCGTACTGGACCCGTAAAGCTTATACCACAAGGCCTACAAAGTGTAGAAATACTTTATTTAAAGCTTTAATGCGAAACGTTTAAAATTGAAAACAATTTTTAAAACAACTGTGAAACATTGAAATAGTTTAAAATAGTTTGTGAGCTTTGGGCTTGGAAAATATTTAGACGTATCAAAATATTTATATCATATATTATGTATAGATTGTTTCTTATAAACAATTATTTTTATAAATTTTGTACATGATGTGTATAACATCATATTTATTTTTATTATAATATGTATTTATTTTCTAGTTAAATTTATTAGTTGAGTAAGAATTATTACTCCGTATATTATAAGAATTGAATAAATACTAAAATATTTATCAAAATATGAAATATAATAGTCATATTTTTCCTTTTAATAAAAGTTTATATCCAAATTCTTAAGCTTAATACTACTGATTATCTTCTTTCATTCAACAGTTGTATAATGTAATATACGATCTTGTGATTCTTAATTCAAGCTCTTTAATTTTCACAGAACTTGTTTCATACGAGAAATTCGTTTCATATGAGAAATTGAAAATTCATAATAACAGAAGCGTCACTATCGATATCGATGTACATTTCGTTGAATGTCTTTTTATTTTATGATAGATAAAAACTTTTATTCATTTTAAATTAATTAAACATTCAATAGAAAGAAAATGAATGCTTTGCCGGCATCAACAAACACGATGTTTGACAAAATCTAGTTTAAAAAATGTATCTCAATGTAAATTTCGCGATATGGTCGAACGTAAACGTTTACCGTAAAACCGGCATGCAAAACTTTAAAATGGGGTCGACGTCGTTCTTCTCGAAGCTGCAACTTTTAAAGCACTTTTTGCCATGCTGTTTATGAAACGAGTGTATTGGCTGAAACATCTGTCGCCGAAACGATCCAAATCTTAAAATGAGCCCGAACCGTATTACACGTCATGTTGAGCTTTGTTAATAATTTGGTGGATGGTTAGTGAGAGAGATTGCGTGATAAATCTTAAGTTATATACAATTTCTTTGTATATAACTTAAATTTTTGTATATCTTCGTCAATTTATCTGTCAGAATTTAAATCGTAGATACAAAATAGATATTAAGAAAACGTTAATCTTAATTTCAGTAATATTAATTTTAATTTAATTATGTTAGTTTCAATATTAATTTAAGAAAAAAAATTAATTTTAATCCTCTTTTCTTGTATATAACTTAATTTTTTAATTTTTATTATTTTGAATTTATTAATTATTATCTTTCAAAATTTAAATAGATGCAAAGCAAGTATTCAGAGGATATTAATTTTAATCATCTTTCAAATTTGATTATGATTCTGATAATGAATTATTATTTCGTAGACACTTTTTATTAATTGTTTTATAAAAGTCATATTTAATATGTTGAGTTACAGTAAAAAGAAAATATAATATTATTTTCTTTTTTTTTCCTTGTACATGATTCTTCTTGTCACGTTTTTGCCACGATCAAATTTGTACTTATATTACTATTTAATAACATTTAAATGTTTAATGTGACACAAAAATAAAAATCAGAAATATCCATGTATGAAATTTGAGGATCACCGACATATTTTATGTAAAGATCCGCCAAGTTAAACGACCTCGCAAAATGTTAGGCGCGAGAATGGGATAATCTTATATAATCTCACCAATTTCCTCTGGACGGTGCAACAATTGTACGAATGTGATCGATAAATCAGAAATTCTTATAGATCTCTGAAAATCATCAAAAGACACAACGTCGCTATTTCTCATGTTTTATTAACGAAAAGAATCATTTCAGAATACACAGTGACGTGACACTGATCTTAATCTCAAATTTCTCTCGAAACCAGCACCTCTACTATTCTAAAAAAAAACATGGATCCTCCTCCAATTACATATTAAATGTATCCAAGTTTCAGTAGAATGCTCATCTAAATCTTCGTGCGTTTCTTCGAAGCAATTCAAACGAACCAGCATTAAGACAACATCTCATAGATAAATCGACTCCGAAGCGACGATAAAGCGATAATCGCTTCCATTAATTTTTGGCACCACTTCCACCACCACCACGTCGATCCTCGAAGAGGATAACTGCCGATCCCACTGTCAATTATCCTCTCGAGACAGGGGAAGATAAAAGGGGAAGGGGGGAAGGGGCAGAATCGTACTTACCACATATCTTCCTCGGCGGCGGAGCACGACGATTGCGTTGCGTATTACGTGAACCGCCGGGCGTATCCGCTCGTCATATCCGCGCGTACACTCGTACTCGCACTCGCGCGCGACTCCGCTCCGCTCACTGCTGCCGCGCTGCTTCGCCACCCGTGCGAGAAAAAATTCACCTTTTCCCTCCGCCTCGTTTCCGGCCTCTGCGGACCACTCGATCACGCCGGCCTCTCAGCCCGGTACCACTTCCGTTGGTTTACGCAGGGCGCAACGCACCCTCTTCGCCCGAGCAGTTTCGCTTCCACCCTTCCCGCACCCTCGCACGCGCGCGACGCGCGTGTGTATCTCACCCAACAACACCTCCCTCGTGGCGCTATGTACCTCCGTCGCGACCGCTCGCTACCTCCTGGACACCCGACACAGTACGAGAGCATCCACTGTACTTCAACACCAACACTACCCACCACCACCACCACCACTACTACTACCACCACCACCACCACCACCACCACCACCACCACCACCACCACCACCACCACCACCACCACAACCACCACCACCACTATCACCACCACTACCACTATCACCACTACCACCACGGCCACCAGGCACGACGACCGGTACACTACTACGACAGAAGACGTGGGGAAAGCTGAGCGCGGGCGCACCACCGTCACACGTTCCGCTACCACTCCTTTTCGCTTCTTCTATTCAGTTCTCTTTCTCTCCCTTTCTCTCTTCTCTCTTCTCTCTCTCTCTCTCTCTCTCTCTCTCTCTCTCTCTCTCTCTCTCTCTCTCTTTCTTCTTCTCTTTTCCTCTTTATAGACTTCTCTTTCCATTCCTCTTTTCGTAATGTTCTATCTCCATCCTACTGCCTCCTTCTGCTATATATCTCGGTCTCTCAATTCTCTCTTGACGTGGCCTCTCCTGCTTCGTATAAACTTATAAATAGATATCTAGGTGCGTTCTATTATATTTATATATCATGGCTCTTTTTCTCGCGCATACATGCTGATGAGAGGGAGAGAGGGAGAGAAAAAGAGAGACAGAGAGAAAGACAGCGCGAGCGCGACACCGCTCTCTAGCAGAGGTAAAGACTGATCTCGCGTGCGTGTGTGCGCGTTACGCGCTTCCTCTACATATACGGCATCCCCGAGAGAAGGAGCACCTTTCTCGATGTACTGGACTCTCTTCGCGAAGGAGGATTCCCAGCAATGAAATTCCCGCTCGACGCAAGAGAGTATCCGAAGAGAAAAAAGAGGAGGAGCTGTCGGCGCTTGACGGCGACGTCGACGACGGCGTCGGAGAGGCGGTGTCTGCGATTGTCGAATCGGATCAATCGTAGATTTCTTTCCCTTTCTTTAATCCTCGCACTCTCGTGATGATAAATGGAACGATGGGGAAATAATACCCTTTCGAATCTTCTTCCTTCCTCTCGCGATCTCCTCTCCTCCCCGAGCTCTTTACTTTCCCGTCCTCTCTCGCTATCTCCCCTTTGACCTCGCCTCCCTTCGCGGCTCACGGCAAGCAACCCCGATGTCACTGTACCGCTCTCTGTTTCGCTCGAGCACCCGTACGGCCAGTGCTCCCTTCTCCTATATATACGCGCATTCCACCGTGTTAGTGGTCTCGCCCCGCGTACACGTTTCTGCTCGATGACGCGCGCCGAGATAGTCCCAAATCCGGCAAACAATTTTCTAGCGCGGAGATCAACGTCGTCCGACCGGAGCAGCCGAAGAGCGGAGAATCTATTTTCCGCGGATGCGACGCACAGGCTGGACGGCGACAACGGCACACGACGACACTCCACGCTCTCCGCAGTCGGACGATATGCCGCCGGCACGACGCCAGCGACGCCTGGCGTCGCGACGCCCACCCCCGCTCCCGTCCAGTGCGAGACGCCGCGAAGCGACGCGAACGCGTGCGAGCGCTATATAGCCGAGGGTGGCGGTGGTAAATGTATTACCAGCTACCGTAACGAAGAAGTGGTGAATTTAAAGGGGTATGCTCGGAGAAAACTGAGACTCGTTTGAATTTTACTTGTTATATTTATTAAAACATTTATTTTCCGGCTGTTCTCAATGATAATTTACAATCTCAACACGAAACCTTTCTTTCCTCGTAATTTTCGCATTTGCGTTTCAATGTCTTTTCTCGCGTCCGGCATGTAAGTAGTTATTGCTAGTAGAAATCAGACAAGTAGTAAGGATCATACAGGGAGCAACCCGTGTTTAGTAACACGTGACACTTAGGCTGCGTTCGCTTTGTCGCTCAGCGCTTGTAAGGATCAACTATCCTTGTTTAACATTTACTAAACAACAAGGATGAAACGATGCTTAAAGCGTTGCGAACGCCAAAGCGGACACAGCCTTAGTAATCATGCAGACACAACGCAGGCAGGAGTAAAACTTCGTACGTTGTAACCTAGACCTGAAATTTTTCATCTTTCCATTCGGAAATTTAAACTTATTATTTGTTGAATTCATATATAAGATAATGATATTTAATATGAAATTAATTATTAATTTATGTGAGTATCAGGATCATTAAAAAAATTTATAACAAAATTTATTTTAGTTGATATGTAATATTATTATATACGCTAATGCAATATAAGGTTGAGCGAATGAGAATGAATTACATAACTGTAAAGTTACATAACTTAATGCAAATTACATAATTATTATAAATTTTTCCTTGAGTAATTATTATTATCAGTATCATTGTCGTTGACAAAGCTGCTGCATTGGAATTTCTTCTGAATTTAATATTGTTTGTAAGAGACCAGAAATGTCTTTTTTCTTTCTTATATAATATTTTCTTTATATAGTAAGTCTTTTAGAGAGATAAAAGAAAATTGTACTCCTCTCCTGAGATTTTTGTCAGTTAGATCTCGTGAGATTGCTAGAACGAGAGAAACAAAATAGATAATGAAGATGGAAGGAAAATCAGTAAGACATGCGCGAATCGACGAACCACGCGACGTAAGGAAAACACTCCCTCGGTAAAATGACAACGATGGCAATGGTCGGCGGAAAAATTTATTTACGACCTATTTCAGTCGACCCACTTTTGCGTGGGGGGGAGGGGGGGGAGGGAAAAATCGCTGAGTTTACTCTCCATATGTAGCTCGCGAGGCACAGAGACGGATAATTTAGCAAAGAATGCTTCGCTCTTTGTCTCACATTATCCTTCGAAATCTTCTTGTCCTTTACAATGAAACATGATTATTGACAATCTCTTCGAGAAGGAGGAGGAAAAGAGAGAACGAAAAAAGTAGAATTAATACAAATAATACAAATAAATACATACGTAAGTAATAGAAACGAACTGCATAGAATTTACACAAATTTTTGTATGGGATCATACACTGTCAAATTTATAGTATGAAATTTAATCTAATTTAAGTCGCCATTGTTTCTACTCGATATATCGTTATTTTATATTAAAACAATGGATAAATTTGATGGATACATTATATAGTGTCAATTTGATATTATATAGCGTCAAATTTATCCATCGTTTTAGTATAAAATAACGATATATTGAGTAGAAGCAGTGGCAACTCAAATTAAATGAAATTTAACAGTAAAAAAAAGACTTCTTAAAACAATTAAAAATTTCACTGATTGAACAAATCTACAGCCGTAATATACAGACAGTCAGTTTTTATATTAAATTAGTAAAGTTTTACATCTGAAAAAAATAGCAACAAAGCATTACAGACAATGGCTGCATTTAGCAGAAAAAGCAGCTTTGTAATTGTTGTAAAATTCTTGAATATGATTGATTTATACATTTAGATTCAGTGAGGAACTAAGAACAAGATCAATCATATTAAAAAATTTTTACAACAATTGCAAAGCTGCTTTTTCTATTGAACGCAGCCAATCATTTTTTATTATAATAGCGTAGTAAATTTCTTAATGTATTAAAGAGAGACAAGACTTTTTACGGAAATCAGTCCAATATATAGATTAAAATTTTTAACAAAATTTTCAACAAAATGTGCTAGCTAAAACGTATACTTTTGCTAATGTATTGAAGAAAATTTGTTATTTTAGCAATTTTAATTGTAGCAAAAATTAGCTAAATTTGTATACTGATAATTGCTTACAAACGTAATTTCTTTATTGAATCATGAAATCTTTTTAATTATTTATAAATGTTGAACTCGTGCAAGCTATAGTTTTGCTAAATCAACCAATCTACTTTTTTCTTATTTTGACGTAATGTAAAATATAACTATATACATAT